ACTTTAATTTACTGTTTCTCACATGAACTTCTTCAAGATTTTTTAAATCCGTTATAAAGTCTTCATGCAATGATGTTAAATTATCTTTATTATCTTGTATTATTATTTTTTTCAAATTTTTATTTAAAGTTAACAATTGTGATGGAAGATACCAAAAATTATTATTTGACAGATCAATTGTTTCTAAGTCCTCTAAATTTTTAAAAGTATTTTCCAGTAAACTCGATAACAAGTTTGATGATAGGTTTAAATATTTTAATGAATTTAATTCATCAAATATTCTCACATCAAGTGTTTTTAATGAATTTTTTTCAAGATTTAGAGTTCTTAAATCCTGTAGATCACGAAATATACCAAAGGGAAGTTCTTTTATTCCATTTCCATGTAAATCAAGTTTCTTAAGATTCAAAGTTTCCTTAAAAATATTTTTGCTTAAAACAAGAGAATTTTCAGACAAATCAAGACATCTCAAATTAGGAAAAATTGTAAAGAATTCAGATGATATATTAGTTAAACCATTATTGGATAAAACTAATTCGGTCACATTTGAAAATCCTTGAAAATGTTCCTTTGTTAGACTTGTGCTAAGATTTTTATGAGACTGAAAGCTTAGTTTTTTTATTTCTATTATTCCTAATTTTGTTGCTATATCTTTTAATGTAGTTTCTTCTGGTAACAGGCAATTTTCAAAATCAACTGAATCGACTTTATAGATGTTTTGTTCTTTCGTAAAATCAAAATCTTTCCAACTAACATTTTCACACTTGATCTGTTGAATTGTAATTTTATGTATTTCAAGAAAATATAGATTTTATTTATTAAATTACATATAACATATCACGTCTAGAATGAGATTTGACTGAATGTAAATAAATTGAAAAGCTACTGAGTATATATACCTGACTAGTCAACAATAATTTCACGTTTATTCCAAACTCCACACCTTTGTTTAAAATGTAATAATCATGTGTATTTTTTTCATTTTCCGCGCATTCACAATACTCTTCTTTATCGAATTCAGGATTATCAGCGAAAATATTTTTAAAGATAAGAAAAATTACCACGAAAATAATCTTACCCATTGTTGGTTACCAAACTACTTTAAAAAATAAAATAATTAGAATACTTTAAAGAGGATTATTACTGTGATAATTAAAAAACAATTATAAAATACATTTCTTTAAGGTATGCGGATTTTATAAAGAGAATTTATGATGTAACTTAACTTACAGTTCTAATTTATTCCGAATTTTGTATTTTTTTTGTTTATGCATTTATATGAACTTACCTACGATCGTTGATACAAAAATGTATTGGTTTAATGATTTTATTAAGTTGCTGTGTAATGTAGCTTCTTCTTCTAACTTTTCGAATGATGAATAGACATACACAGTTAAATTAAATCAATCTTTCAATAATCAAATTAAAATACAAATAAGGTCTCTTTGTTCTTTTCAATTCAAAATGTTAGATCAAAGTAACGATATCCAAACACGTACTTTCTTGCTTGTAAACATAAACAATATTAGAGAATTTGAAAAATCATTGATACATATATAGGTAGAAAAACATTTGAGGAAACCCGAAACTAACGACTTTATGTGTTAGTTAATATCACTGTTCATTGGTTCGAAAATTGTGAACAACATTTATTTAAAAATCATATATATTTAAATCAAAGCAAAATTCACAGTATACAAATAATAAATTAGTATCGCTTTCACGCTTATAAAATAAAATGTAAAATATAATTTGGCAAATATAAATTTGCAATATTTAAATATTGTGAAGTGAGTAGTTTTTAAAGTAACTCAATAATCTAATATGAATTACACAATAATTATCATTTTTATAATACACACGAATTTTCTAAACAATAAAAATAAATGTAACATATAATATAAATTATAAAAAAAAATATTMAAGTTCATAGCTACTTATGATGCTGTTTTACATAATAAATAGTAAATAAATAATTTGATTTATGTCATATATCTTTTTTTACAAATAATATATTTTATATGTTAAAAAAGTTATACTTCTAAAAATAATATATTTTATTATTTGTATGAATGTTATTATAAAAAATTATATATTTTATTTCTTCAAAAAATTTGACTTTTTAGAATAAAATATTTAAATTCTTTAAAAGTGTTTAAGTTTTTAAAAATAAATATTTTACTCTGTCAGAAGTAATTTTTTAAAGAAAAAAAAATATATTTTATTCCTACAATCATTTAATTAAAATAATATTTAAAAGTCAATAAATTTAATTCACCTATTTTAATAAATTAAATTACCACTTAATCAGGTATTTGTGATATATTATTTTCAGAAATAATAACTAAAATTTCCTAAATTATTTTTATCTTTACCTCTTATTTGTGCAAAAACATTTCTTTCTTTTTTATATCAGCAAAGCATTTCAGTTGGCATTTTTTCCTGATATGTGAAAAAAATGTTTCTACTATCGTTTTCCATAACATCATTGATTCAAATATAATAATAATTAAAAGACAATAAATATAATTCCATAATTTACCATTAAAAATGACAATACTATACACTAACCGGTTTATATTGTTTTAGTATATTTTCTAAAACAATATAAACTTTATTGAAAATAAAAATAAAATAAAAATATGAAATAGACATTTTTTCTGCTAAAAATCGCTATACCTGTAATATTTATCTCTTTATATATTCTGCCAAAACCATTGTTGTTGTTTTATTTTATTTTACATTTTTGACGTATTCTAACTTGGATCAGTGGATAAACACAATTCATCAACGGTCATACTACCTAAAGGAGTGTCGTAGGCTTGACACTTCACATTTTTTAGATCTTCATGAATAGATTGCAATTGTAAAACAAATACATATATAAATCTATCATCACAACCACATACAAATGGATTCCCACTTAAAGTTAATTCTTTGTAATTTTGATGAAACAAGAATTCACTTACGTTGTAACTCATACTTAATAGATTATTATTATGTAATTCTAATACCTAAAAACGTAAAAGAAGATAAAAGAGACAATTATGAAATAACTCAAAAGAATGAAAAGAAAAAATAATAAAATAAGTTATTTACATACTTGAATAGTTTTTGGTAATCTGTTCAGCGATATTTCAAAAATATAGTTGTTAGATAACAATAAATGTGTTAAGTTAAGAGATTCTATGTAATCAAGTGATGGTATTTCCCTTAAATAATTCCCTGTGAGATTCAATATTAATGGATAATTTCCCTCCAAATTTATTGTATTCTTGTTGATTTTTAATTCAGGCTTCAATTTGTTCGAACAATCTATAATTCGTGTTTGATCATACGGTCTTATCATAGAAGTACATAAACTTGGATGCCTATCTACAATTTGAAAGTATTCATCCTCGGGACACTGGTAAGTTTTAAAATACATCAGATTAAATTGCAGACCGTCCTTTTCATTAGGTTTCACACACGTTAAGTTTCCCAATTTAAGTTCAAACAAATTATAAACATTAATGGGCATATCACCGTTATAATAACGCAAAAGGTTATATAGGTGACAATCGCATAATACAGGATTGTTCTCGACGCGAACAATAACATTACGTTTTACAGTATTATATGTTACCAACTTTTCGATATTTGTTAGTAAAATATTACTTATGTTGTTATATCTTAGATCTACTAGAACTTTATTAGACGAAAAAATAAAATTATTCGCCTAAAAAATAAAACAAAAAAATAAAATTATAATAAATTAATTTAGAAATCATTTCAATTATAAAATTTAATGTATTTACGAATAGTAAAATTTGATATGCACCGATATTGTACTTATGTCGTTGTGACGCAGATCCAATAATTCTAATTTTTGTTTATTTGTAGTCCAATCAGAATAAAAATGTTTAATTGTATTGTTCGATAAATGCAATTCCTTAAGAAGATGATTGCTATAAAAAGGTGAAAACATATTGAATGAATTACTAAACTGTAGACGATTATAGGAGAACTTTGCGATGGATAGTTGTTCATTGGTTGAAAATGCTTCAAAATTGATATTTATTAAGCTATTTCCTTCCATGTTAAGTTTTTTTAACGATGTCAAACCATGTAATAAAAATCTAAAAAAAAATTAATATTTGATGAACAATTTATGGTATACAAGTTTGCTTCCCAGATTTTTATACAGATGAATTGGATAAAAAATAGCGGAAGCTTAATTGTACACCTATGAGATTAATAGTATATATTTTATAAATTTTATAATAATCTACCTTTGTACGTTATCAAGACGATTATAAGACAAGTCGAGTACTTCTAAATTTT